ATATATATATATATATATATATATATATATATATATATATATAATATGTAGTGGATTATAAAACAAATCTATGTACATAACATCCAGCTCAAATATGGCAACAAGAAACAAAGAACATGTATTCCAGTTGCCGCTATTGTGGGTGTTTATGTTATTCCATAGAGTGTGTGAATCAACTGGAATTTTTTAGGGGGAAGGCCTTGATCTTAGCATCATTTGTGTTTATGCCTGTATTAATGAGTGTATGTGCATACTGCGCACATTATTAATCTCTACTTCAAATAATGAGTCCTCTTTTTTCCCTGGTAGCAGGTACTGTCCTCCTGGTTGCAGAGATATAATAGGAGATATTTCTGGTAATATCATAGAAGGCTACAGAGATGTAAGTACCTCAATGTAAGAGCAGATTTAGAAGAAAAAAGTGGCAGTGCTGTTTTCTAGATGTTTTCAACCAGCTAATAAACCATTTAACTTAAGTCAAAGTCAGTACAATAAATTATTATGCAACATGGAGCATATTAAGATCTGAAAATAGTGATATGAACAGGTGCAGATAGTCTTGAAAAGTCAGGCTTAACCATGAGAAGCACATAAAGTATGCTTTTTCGTTTCATTAATATAGTTCAGGCCAAATGGTTGTTAGAACTGTTTTTCTATTTAAACTAAAAAAAATCCATCTGTTATGATCTGAAAACTGTTTTGAAAGTTAGGTACAGTAATATATTTTGCAGGAATTTATTGTGAATGAAGATCAGGAAAACCACTACATTAGGCTGCATGAATCATAAAACAGTTTATGGTCAGTGTAGGAATCCACTAAGTTTCTCCAGCAGGTGGCCATCCAGCCTAAATAGCTCTGCTTGCGGCTGCTTCTCCATGTTCTGCTGGTGGTCTAGTAAGAACTCTAGATCCTCCTAAGATCCTTATTGCCCAGCTGGTGTCTCAAATCCTGTATCAGAGGATCAGCTACAGAAGGCACCATGGGCACATTTAAACATCACTCTATTGGATTTAGATGAAGGCTTAGGTCAAGGTTATTTTGAATTTTGATTTTGCCGTCATCTACAAATCTGATAAGCTGCCTTTCCGTGATATCCTCCAGATCATTTTGCCGAGGTATCTCAGGGTTGCTCAGTGGAGCAAAGTAGCACTGCAAATCTAAGACCGGGTTCTGTCCCATTGCCTCTAGTTGATGCTTTGAGACAGATCACTTTGTGTGTTGTTTTGTTTGAATGAAAATGTCGTCTTCCACATACGAACAGAACAGCCAGTTATGATGCTACAATGCAGCTTCGCTGTAGGGCATAGCAAGAGGTATTGCTTCACCTGAAGACCTGGACTGATGGGGCAGGTCATGGAAAGATCAGTTGAAACCAAATATATATTTAGGCTTTGCACACAGTTTGGAGGTACAGAGATAATTATGTGTTTTGATCTGGTCACTTGTTCTTTTATTATCGTACTCTTCATGGTGTTCGCTTGTATGTGTATTTATGTGGGTGTGTAGTTTCTTTTAGATCAATGCCAATAGATGTAATCTTCACATATCATTTCTTTTAATCCAGTTTACAGATGAGGCTTAACAGGCTTTTTAGGCAATAATTCAAAGTCCTCCTCTTCATTATAGAGTAACTTCAACTAAATGACCAGAGCCTGTGGTATTATTCTTTGCCACCTGTACTATGAGGAAATGGCACTTTCTGATTTCTGAGCAAGGAAAGATTGATGCATTGTAAAATATTAACCTTAGAGCATATTTACCTAACAGGCCAAGTTGTTGCAATCTTTCCAGAAGTAATGCTGCCTTGTCTCCAGTTAAATAGATAATTTACAGAAAAATGTTACTTTCCTTTTCTATTATTCGACTTGATTTTTTGAAAGAGTGGTCTCTTATTGGCTAGATGGGTATGAGTTATTTAAGTATTGAAACATAATCTTTGGTTTGTTTGTTTGTTAATTGGATTTTATTACATCAGACATCCTTTTTGTGCAAATCTGCCATACACGCTGGAATCATTGCAGATGAAGTGGGTGGCCAGATCAATGTAGTTCAGTTGAAAGGAAAAAATCGGTATCAGGGTATCTTGGCCAATGGCATCCTTTCCCAAGAGTAAGTATTGTTTTGGTGCTTGACTTATGATATGCTTACTTAAAGCCAGGATATAGTAGTGTACAACACCTTTCCTTCTCTCTCAAAATAAGTCATAAATAAACTAGGAAGTCTAAATAACCATAATTTGATCTAAACCAAAATCATGTTTGTGTATGCTATCCTTAACATAATAACAAGATGTATAACTGCGTATTCCCATACAAAGCTGCTTCCTTCTTTTTTTTACGCAATAGGTCTGCACCTCCCATAGCATGAGCAACTGTACCGTATTGTCTAAAGTTAAATATTGTTCTGTTGTAATTAATGCAGATTTCCCAGTTTGCTTGTTAAATCGTTCAAAGAGAAAAGCCGATTGAGGGCATTAGCGTTGTTCAGTTTTCAGCCTATTAAATGAAGATATATGTGTCAAAATTCAGTCATTGATTGCCGAAGTGTGATATTAAACTTGCTCCTGAACTAAAAAGCAACTAAACTGCATTTATTACTCAGGGTCATTTGCGTAATCTCAGTACTACAGTTAAATAATAATAGGCATCAGATCTGTCACCATTACTCTAAATCAGAGGTGTCAAACTCAAGGCCCATGGGGCTGGCCTGCGGTGCATCTGATAGTGAAAACAGGCCACAGGAGAACCACATGTAGTCCCCCGGTGCCCTGTTTTGTCTGGTGGAGTGCTGCAGGAGGCATTTGTCCTAGCTCCCCACCCCCAGCCAGCCTGTGGAGGAGAATTACAATGCTGATCCAGCCCTCAAAGAAATCCAGTTTGACACCCCTGCTCTAAGTCATGGAAGGAGTTCATTCTTTGAAATAGAAATGCTAACAATATCATTCCTGAGTAAATAGCTTTGAATGGTTGGCTGGTTGATTGGTAAAGATAGACAGATAATACCAGTACACACAAACGCATATGTATGACAATAGTTAACATTATGGTATCTTTTTTCTTGACAGTGGATCTCTATCAAACAAGCGATTTATTTTTAACTCAAATGGTAAGGAGTAGTATTATTTTGCTTTTTTTCTTAATAAAGCATAACTATTTTAATTAGTACTTCAAAGCTGTTATCATAAATATTATTCAGATATTACTCAAAACTAAATCCATTTACTTTGCTATTGAGTAGGTGTTTATACAAGTAATCCTTAATTTACAACCATTCAATGACTGTTCAAAATTATGATGGTGCTTGTTATTATCCTTGTCTGAAGTTATAGCTGTTTGCAACACTCTCACATAATCAAGATTCAGGCACTTGGCAATCTATCCATCCTTGTGATTGGTTGGAGGGGCACTGCAATTGCTCCTACCTATCTATTCCTCCACCCCCATTTCACTAGCTCACTAGCATGCAATTCATTTAGTGTCAGAATAACATCATCTTTGGAAATCAAAATAATAATTTCTGATAAATAAATAATAAATAATATATAAGTGCTTCTTATCAACAGTTAAATTCAGATGTTGGGTTCTACATTTGAATATAACATTAAAAATATCCAGGATAGATATCCTGTTGAGCAAGGCAAGTATTTTTCTGATTATAGTGTGTACAGTGAAAACAAAAATGCACATTCTTTTTATAATTTAAAGGTTGTGACACAGCACTGAATTTAGGAGGTGGAGATGCTTTGAATATTCAGATGACCGCATCATCATCCTGGAATGAAATCAATGAAGTTGGGGACTTAGTTGAGTGGTCTCCTCAGAAAGCTTGCCTTAAAGTTCCTGGGCCATCTTGGGCAGCAAACCAGAGTAACCATCAGCAGTGGCTGGAAATTGACTTGGGAGAGAAAATTAGAATTACAGGTAAGTTCGAAGACTTCCTGCTCAGTACATATGCCTTTAATACGTGCGCCATGATGATGTTGTGTACAGTTATAAAAGTGTGGTCTTTGCATCATGAGGGCACAACCACTGCTTTTTCATGTTGAGTGTTGGATCCTGCAGATTCTTTTGGGTCAATTATTCATGGAATAAAATTACTTGCTTTCTGTAATTCAATGGTATGTTCAGACAGCATGGTAAGCTAGAACCATGCTTTCTATGGAATAAACTACATGTTGCTGCTTTGGGCTCAAACTTTCTCTTGGCTCTGATGCAAAACAAAGTGGCTAAATAAACCTAAATGGCTATGTCTCACAAGAAGAGCCCATGTTTATGTATGTTCATATTGTTTTGGTTGTATTTATTGCTGCATGTGCATTGAGTTTAGAAATTTCTCACCATAATATTTTGCATCCTGAAGCTCTGTTTTTTAAAGAACTATATAAACAAATCTGGTACAGATAATAAAATACAAAGGTTCTTGCCTTGTGACAATTTCCCCTAGTTTCTAGCTAGTGAAATATTTTATGCCTTATTAGTGGGGGTTGAACTATACTCATATGTAAAATCACAATCCAGAATTTACATTTTTTTTTCTTACTTTAATTTGTGGAAAATTGGGCTGCTTCAATGGACACATGTTTGTATCTATTGATAGAAGGTATGCATGTAAACAAATGTTTTTAACATGAACAGTAGTGGAAATGGTGATAAAATATAAAGCTAACATATTGCCTTTTTAAACTTTGGTCTCAGTATATTGATATTATTTGAAGAAAAGTTTAGTTTCATATTTATTTGTATTCTCTTTTCTTACATTACAAGGAATTAGAACTGCGGGGTCTACTGTGCTTCATTTTAATTATTACGTGAAGACATTTGTTGTGAACTATAAAAATAATAACACAAAATGGAGAACCTACAAAAGAATCTTAAGCAATGAAGAAAAGGTAATACTGATTAGGGGATGGAGAATGGAGTGGGAACGGTGTTATTGAAGTTTTTTTTTACTCCAGTGCTTTTTTATGATTGAAGCAGCAGTGTTAGATTCATCAAAATCTTAAGTGCCCTAACAGGAGTGAAATAAAGTTTTTTTTAACAAATTGACAAAATTTTAAACTACACACACACATCCCAGAAAGGTTTGTGCTTATAAACCTATTTTTTCAAGGCAGTGCATGGACAGTGTGTCTGCCATTTTTAATAAAAATGTACAAAAGTTTAATAGTAATTTGTTTATTCAGGTGTTTCTATGCAAATTTAACCCAAAATGAATCTTGGTGGCATTTCTTTACTAAAGTCTGGGGAGGAACCAGAATGAAATGGTTCCAAAGGGGTTGGTTTTCTCCCCAATTTCTTTCAACAGGTGGGAAAAGTCCCACCTAGATATAATGATGCAGCCTTCAGTTTTCCAGATGGCTAGGTTTAGTGGTACATACTGTAGTTATCCTATAGACTTTATTACCATAAGTCATAGCAATAGCCACTAACTTGGATGGCTTTAAAGGGGAACCGGATACATTTGTAGGATAGGACTATTGAGGATGAAGTTTTGAGTACCCCAAAGTTGACCACTATGAGAAACAAAATAGCTGAAGAAAATGGGCCTTGGCCCAAAACTGCAGGGCTTTTTGTTGTTGTGCTGACTTATTGTGCTAACTTGGCAGTTTGCAGCATCCAGGTTCAGATTCTTCAATTCTATTAAGTAGGGCTTCTCTATGCCAGACACTGCTCAAATCTGGGCAGTGACATAGAATTTGCTGTTAAGCCAGTCAAAAAAACCCACTCCATTTCTCATATTGTAGTCATTGACAAAGCAGATTTGAATTGCTCAGTTTAACCATCCTCTTACCATATTTCCATGAAAGATTAATTTGTGGAACAAGAATGTTATTTGTCTTTTATAAATCCCCATTTGTTCCTAACTTTCTCTTGTATCAATTATCCTGTTTTGTGTGTGCGTTTGTTATTCTTCTGTATTGTAGGTATTCAAAGCCAACTCAAATCATGGAGATGTAGTTCGGAATAATTTTATTCCCCCTATAGTAGCTCGTTTTCTGAGAATTATTCCACAGACCTGGTACAAAAGAATAGCCCTGAAAGTGGAACTTATTGGTTGTCGAGCAGTCCGAAGTAAGCCATCTTTACACAGCTTGTAAAATGTAGAATCTCATTGTCCCACAAATGAGATGTTGACTTTTTTTTCCCGTCTGTTTGTAGGTAACAGCTCTCTTATTCATCCACTCGGGCAAAGACCAAGTCAAAGCACAGGTGTTCCCACTAAAAAAGATGACCGATCAAGCACAGAATATATACCTTTAGTTGAAACCAACTTAGGTATGACAATCAGTGCGATCCTACCGTGTTTCTCATATAATAAGGCCGGGTCTTATTTTTTTTTGAGCCCCGAAAAAATGGCTAGGCCGTCTTTTCGGGGGTGACTTAATTTCCCCCCCCCCTTGTATCTTCGGGCAGGTGAGCAGTGACGGCTTGGATGTTGACCTCGGCATTGGTGGGGCACTTTGTATCAGGGTCAACGCAGGCAGCACCATATCCGGGTGTGCAACAAAAGTACTTCCTAATGGCAAGCCCCCCCACCATTCCCCCCCATTTCGCATGTTTTAATATAGGCCTTAATTTGGGGGGAGGGGCTTAATTTCATTTCATGCCTATAAAACATGCTGGGACTTCCTATTGGGGGAGGCCATATTGTTGGAGAAACAGGGTATGTATGTGAAATGGAGAAGAAAAGTTTTAGCGGTTGGGAACAACTACTCAAAAATGGTCACATCGTCCAGGGTCAAAGGCAGGCAGTTCCCATCCATCTCGTTCTCCCATCCACCCTCAAAGACACACATTTTCTGTATCTATCTGCTTTCCTCATATTTGCCTAGCATTCTGCTTGTGACCTCTGCTTCCTGAGCTGCTATCAATGCAGTTTGACAGGACATAGCAGACTTTCAGTGATATATTTTGCTTTCTTCAAAAATAAAATGGAAGAGGATGCAGACATCAGTCTGTTTCCATTTCCATCCTTAATGCTCCCTCCAAGTGGTCTAAAATCACACCGTTGGAATTCTGCCATGTTGGCCGCATCATTTAATCGTAATAGGCTTGAATAGAAACAATGATTTAATAATGAACTTATTGAATAATGAGCTTACTCCAATGTGATCCAATTATGGAGGACAAAATATTGGGCATTTACACTAGCCATTTTTCCATCAACTTCTCTGATATATATATATATAAAGTTGCAGTAGAATAGCACTCCATCCATTTTGTTTTTGTAATAATACAAGACATGTACTCTATATGATAATAAATGTGATCCTTGGTGTGTAGTGCAGCTCTATAGTCAAGTTTTCTAGCTTTGTTTTCAGCGTATTTTAAATCTTGATATTTTACACTTTTAAAGGACTGAATCTTATGGCTATCATTATTCCAACCCTTGTGGTGCTTTTGCTGCTCCTGTTATTGGGAACCTGGATCTTTACTGCACTACGAAAGTAAGTGCCTTTTTTTTTCCTCATTCAGAATTAGACACATGATCATTGTTATCATTTGAATAGGTGCAGCCCCTTGATTCATTACAATGTTTCAAAAGTAATTGGCAGATAAAATAATTCCAATGGGGAAAATATTGTATAATGATTTTATATATTTTTTAAACTATTGCATGTTTGATACCTCATTTAATTCCCAACAGTTTTAATTAGTTTAGTTTATCAGGCTTCCACACTTCTGATTCTCCAAGAAATGTGTGCTTTCTCTGTCTCCTTCTCCATATATAATGGTGGATAAGCCCATTAACGAATATGCTGAGTCTTGAATTAGTATTCCAAAATACTATGGAAAATGTGTCACGCGTGAATATGATGGTCCCCTCAAGTTTTTGAATGTTTTAATGTTTAGAATTGGCATATTTATGGATGGTATAATTTTCATAGTATTTTGTTTAAAAATTCCAGGGTTGGCTTATCCATCAGAATATACGGAATACATGGGTTCTTTTTTTTTTTTAAAAAAAAGTACTGCATATGTTGTATATGAAAAGGCCATCGGTAGATAAACCAAGCCCAATTTTGGTGGTGTATTTTGGAATCTACAATTCTTGGTTTATGCGTGAGAATATGTGATAATTATAAATTGCACTTAAGAAGAATGGGGCGAGCTGACTGTACAGCTTGACAAAGTGTGCCTGCTCAGAAAGTTCTTTCCACATTTTGTGGGCAAGCATAGCAGAATTAGCTCAGAATAGGATAGCTGCACTTGGTTTAGCCTTGAAAGAGAGAATCATTTTTTTTAAATGCACTCAAATCATTAAAGGAGAGCTGAGGCAGAGGAAAAACATTACGCTGAGCTTTGCTTTGTAATGAGGTATTGTTGTGATTTCTGAACATAGACAGAAAAAGTAGCTTATGAAAAAATATCCTCAGTGCAAGTATTTTTATTTCTGCCTCTCTCTCTCTTATGGACACACTGCTACATAAGACTATAGTTTGGTGATTGTTGGCCGATCATGGAGTGCAAACATATTTACAGTGAAATCTTGATTTTAAACTATCGCTGTTTAACAAATTTTAGATGCAGCAGATCAAATTTCAGTCTGGATGTCCACTGACATAATGGACAAATATTCTAAATCAGGCCTGTCAAACTGATGGCCTCCGGGCTGGATACATCACACACAGGCTACGCCAACCCTGGCTCCATAAAGGGAAAAAATGTTGCGATACGTCACTATCCGGCCCATGATGTGATCGAATCTGACACCCATGCTCTAAATCCATAGTCTAGAGAAGAGAGTTATATTAATTTTACCTTAATTTTCAACATCTGCAAAGAGAGGTTCATGACCCAGATTTCCTTATGTTTTTACATTTCAATTTGCGTATTACAAAAACAAAAATCACTGTGATTATGTACTGTACTTTTCATATTTAATAGACATTTGGGAGTATCTAATACCCCCTTCCTGCAAGTGGCCTATTAAAATAAGGTTTCACTGTCCTGTATCTTTTAACCATGCTTTCTTTCTGAATTATATTGTACATTACAATAAGCAAAAAAAAAAAAAGAGTTCCACAGAGCTTCATATGGAGATTGCTTTTTGAGTAAGCATATCGGGCTGCTGGTGAACAGGGAGAAATTTGTAGACATGGACACAACCTGATTGACACACTGAGTTGTCACGTCCTGTCAAACCATCTTACATTCCACTTTCCTCCTTGCCAAGCCATCTAGTCTTTGTGAAGAATGAACTTTCTAACTCCTCTTCACCCTGGAACCTAATGAAAGGAATAATGTTACTGATGAGAACCAGCTCCTTATCTTAAGTAATCTTTTCAAATAAAGAATAAGTAGGCGCATTCTGCTGTTTTACCAGCACAAAATGATCCATTGGAATAGAAAGTCATACATATTGTATTATGCCACTGATTGCCTCAGCCATACATAGCCCAAGCTTAGATGCATGAAATGAATTATATTACTTGTAAACTATAGCTTGATCAATGGTACAAATACTGATTTTGGAGGCTACGTATTTTTCAGAGTAGCCTTCGTTTACATAAGACATTAAATAGATTACTAGACTATCTGGCTGATTAACAAACTAAAAATATCTACCTTTTCATGATGTGTGTCAGAGATTGGAGAAGAGAGGCATCATAATGTCAGTTTTATTCTAAAGGTGCTAGACTAGGGCTGAGGAGACCCAGGTACAGACATTACCAACCTACTTATCAACAGATTAAGTTCTAAGAGGCAAGTCCAAACTAGTATTTAAAAAAAAACACGTGGTAGAGTATTTGGGTGGATCTGCAAACAGCATGCCAGAAACTAACCTTTTCCTGCCTTCCAGGACCTTTTAGGATGGGTTTGTAGACAGATTTGCTCATTTCTGCAAAAGTTTGCAACTTGAAAGTTCGTAAGTAGGGCAATATCTATACAAATTTACACTTAGACACGGTAGCTTACTGGGTGTCTTTGAACTAGTTGTTCTCTCTACTCCAACCTACCTGCAGAGTTCATGTGGCAATAAAACAGAGATCTCCATTTTAAGCTACTTTGAACTCATGAAGGAAATGCTATCGATTGAACAAATAAAAGGGGAAATTGTTAGCTTTTTGATTTGTTTGTCTAATGATGCTGTGAATATAAATAAAAATGATTTCAATCAAACCCCATACTTGGAAGTCTAGTGAAAATGTAGTACGAAAACTGTATCTGACTTCTAAGAAAAATAAAAAATTTGACCATGATTTGTAGATTCTTGACAATATCCATAGTATATAATAAACCTGGGAAGACATAGGCCTGAAAATTCAGAATTGCCTGCTGTTTGGAATTTACCAAGTTAATAGATTCTGTGAAATCTATTTGAACTGAAGCAGGAAAAGTCTAATTTATCTTGTCCTTCCTTACAGAAAAGGAAAGCAAGCTACTACGTATGGTTCATCTGACACTGGAAAACCAAGTTAGTGGCAATCTTTTGTTTTTGTTATGGGACAAAAACAAGAAGGAATAAAAAATGTTTCCTGCTGATCAGTAATATCTTTTGGATTCAGTAGGAGGAATATCCTTGACTTGCTCCACCTTTCTCTCTCCTGACCCATGCATCATGTTTTATATATAGTGAGTTGGACATTCAGCGAGAGCTGGCACTGATATCTCTGATCTTGCTCATCCTGTTTTTCAACTTCTCTGACTGCTCTGTGGGAATCTGTGGATAGGTTCTTACATTTGTTCCCCTGCCATTTATGGTTGCATGAATGATTTATGATGCTATACAACCACCAAGGTTTTTATAGAGCATTTTTTATGTATTGTGCTGCTGCTTTGACTCTCTGGCAGGGCCCGGCTTTGATCAGAAACAATGGCAAGGCCTAAATTTTAGTAGCACTAGGATTTTAAAGGCACATTTAAAAAGTATAATATATATTCATGAGGGTACAAGAAATAAAGTGCTGCTTTCCACAGAATATTTTGTAGAGCTAGAAATATCATATATAGAAGCTGAGCTTTTGCTGGCTCCCTTGAGAAATAATTTCCACACACTAGCTTTTTGCCATCTAAAAAGCAAAGTATAAACCTCCATTACTATAAGAGATAAGAAAATTGTGTCCTAGTACAGGGGTCTCCAACCTTGGCCACTTTAAAGCTGGCTGAGGAACTCTGGGAGTTGAAGTCCACCAGTCTTAAAGTGGCCAAGGTTGGAGACCCCTGTCCTAGTAGAATTCCTGTCTGCTTCGCAGTTCAAAAGCATGCAAATGCAAGTAGATAAATAGGTACCACTTCGGTGAGAAGCAGCTGTCCCTATCCCTGGCCCATGGACTGGCACCGGTCCACAGCATGCCGGAAACTGGGCCACGTAAACAAGTGAAGCCCCATCCATGGGATGCAGTCAGCATGTGAAACCACGCTCCTTCCACCCTGTGGAAAAACCAGTCCCTAATACCCAAAAGGTTGGGGACCACTGGCATATAGCCATGCTGGCCACATGACTATGGAAATTGTCTTTGGACAGTGCTGGCTCCCTCAGCCAAGAAACTGAGATGAGCACCATGCCCAACCTTTACCTTTATCTTAAAATTCAATTCAAGTGGATCTTCAACATTTTAAGCCTTATAGAGATAATTTGATGGTGCTTAATGCTAGTAGTGAAGATTCTGTAAAAGCTACAATTATTGTAATTGGTTTTCCAAATCATTTTAAAGGCAATTTTACGATAATCACTTAATAAATCTATATGTCCACAACAACTTACAAGTAAATAAATTCTATGCATGCAGTGCTTTAGATTAATTTACCTTTTGAGATTAAACATAGCTAGGACCTAAATGTCTAGGTTTCTGTTCTAGGTTTCTGGAAACAAATTCAACCACCCTTTGTCCGATATCAGTCTGCAGAATTCACCATCACTTACAATAATGAAAAAGAGGCACCCAAAGAGCTGGAACTGATCACAAGCGAGATGACAGGTAATTCTTTTGAAAACAGTCACAGTTTCTGACGCTATAATTTGCAAAACATTTGATCTCCCTCCTTAACTAGGGAAAGGCAGTGTAGTTCACAGGGGATTGATTAATAATGATTTTTCTCTGTTTAGAAAGGCTTGCTTTCCTGCCCTTTGGCAAAGTTTTGCATGATTTAAAAATAATAATGTACAGGCAGTCCTTATGTTACTATCATTCATTCTGTGACCCATTCAAAGGCGTGTCCCAAAGGTGCTTTTCCAAAAGGCAACTGGACTTTCTTGGGTTTTTCTTTTGAACACATTTTGCTTCTCATCCAAGGAGCTTCAGTTCTTAACTGATTGGTGGGGAATGGAAGGAAGGAAGTCTAGTTGCTTTTTGGAAAAGCACCTTTGGGACAACCATGACCTGGATGATTGAGAATCTCTGTAGGCATTCAGAGGCATGGTGGTGCTTAATGAATGGTAATTACACTCCCCCCCCCCCCCCAAAGTTATGGCCATTACAGCTGCCTCATTCATGGGATCAAAATTCAGATGCTTGGCAAGTAGTCTGCACTGCAAACTACAGAGGCACTTTAACTCCCCCCACCCTCCATCTATGACCCAGCCCCCTTTTGACTTCCTTGCATTCCACTGGCCCAGTCAGCCTGCCACACTGGCCTACTGGCTCTGACAGCCCTGCTCAGAAGCCTTCCAAAATCTCACAAGAAGCCTGCATGGGATTGGAACAAAGGCATGCACTGTGTGGCTTGTCAGCAGAGGCAGAAAAAAGACAGCAAAGATCAGATGGAGCAGTAAGGCCAGAGGGGCATTGAACACAGGACAGTGGAGTACAAAGTAGCCAGAAGGACGAGATGGGGAGGGAGGGAGGCAGGTCAGAAGAATTGAAGAGGAGGAAGTCCCTTATCGTAACCAAGGCTCAGGGCTGGGAGGGATCAAGCTGGAAATGGCTTGGATCAGAGTAGGACCTTGGCTCAGAACCGGTGGGATTCAATTAACAGCAACCAGGACTGTTGTCATTAAGGACACAAGACCTCATGCTTTACAACCACATCCCTTAGAAAATTCTAGTCCCAATTCCTGTTGTAACTCGAGAACTATCTGCATTATCTTTTTTTAAAAAAACATTGCTAATGTGCTTGTGTGTGCTTCTTTCCCCCCCAATTGCTTCCCCCATTGCTGCTAACATTTACAAATATTTATAAAAGGGTAGGAAGTTGACTAAAAGGGTTCCTTTGGCAAGAGACTAGGTTGATGCCCTGACACTTAAATGATTACTATTCGTGATTGAGGGTTTGTTGAAATGTTCTAGATGTCAACCTTTAATGCATTCTGCATTCATGGGGCTTTTGCAATTCACTTGCTCTAATGCAAGACACCCCATGAAACTTTGATTAGCTCAAACAAGCAGATGGGGAAGTAAAAAATGGATGGGCCTTCTTTCCATGCTTGTTAGTATTACCCATGCATCAGTTCTCTTATTTGAGCTATATGCATAATCCAAAGGCAATTTCTATATAGAGGGGATAAAAGTTTGTTTGGTATCTCTTCCCACCGGAAGAAGAGACCACACTCAACTTCAGGTATTCTAAACAACTTTGGAACTTTCTCCCAAAATTAATTTTATAGCTTTATGAGAGATATACAGTCCTCAATCTTGCAGGCCCATTCCAGGAGCCACTGAAAACCTAGCAAAATTAACAGGTAGCCCTCGACTTGCAGCCATCCCTTTAGTGACTGTTCAAAGTAAGAATAGCACTGAAAAAAGTGACTTATGACTATTTTTTACACAGCCGTTGCAGAATCCCTACGGTCACTTGAACAGAATTCGGGCACTTGACAACTCTCATGTATTTACAGATGTGGCAAAATAAAGGTCATCAAACGGGGTACATCTCACCACACAACTGTCCTGCTTGGCGATAGAAATGTTGGGCTTGATTGTGGTTGCAAGTTGAGGACTACCTGTATGCTTGCTAATGTTTGGTGGAGAAGGGATAGTTTGGGAAGCATTTTTTAAAAATTGCTTTAAGCCAAGAAGAAGAAGAAAAAAAAGGTGGCTAAAATAACCATATTCATTTTTCACCAAATTTAATGTCTTCCGTTAAGGGTTTTTTATCTAATTCACAGGATTTAATACAAACTATAGATTAAATACAAACATATCTTCAAGCATTTCTTTTATTAAGCTATCAAAACAGCATTGAATTTCAGTTCTTGCGGCCTAACTTTGCAATTTCCAACTGTGTCCCATTGTTTCTTTCCTCCACTGTCTCATGGATGGAAGATAATCACAGAAATTTGAAATATTTTAAACAGTATTTTTTTGCTACCAAAACATTTGCAAAGTGTTACCTGAATTTGTATGTACTTATCTATAACTCTTAAGAACTCTACTTCTCTTTGGATTTAAAAAAGACTGGTTAACGTTGCCTCTTTCAGATTGCCACTGGTTTTTGTCCCTAGTTGGTGGAGCATGGGTTCGTTCTTTCTGTCTGTCCTCCCTTTTTTAAGAGTCTTGCCCCAAGGCTGTCCTTAAACCTGCAACACTTCAGCTTGTAATCCTGCTGTCCCACTAAAGTTCATCAGCCAACACTGCAAGGTTTCTTAGCCATCACTATTCATACAATACCAGTAGTTCTTGCTTAATGACAGTAATGGAACCAGAATTTCCATCACTAAGTGATGCAATGGTAAAGTGCATAGTCTCTGGTTACATCATTAAGCAAATTACCACTGACTGTTAAGCAAGGATCTCACGTGACCCTAACTTCCTATTGGCTTCTCATTGATTTTGTTTATGGGAAGCCAGCAGGAACAGCTGTAGATACAGATACAGATAATCAGAGTTGGAAGGGACCTTGTAGGTCATCTAGTCCAACCCCCTGCCCAAGCGGGAGACCCTACACCATTTCTGACAAATGGCAGTCCAATCTCTTCTTGAAAGTCTCAACTGATGGCGCTCCCACAACTTCCAAGGGCAAGCTGTTCCATTGGTTGATTGTTCTCACTGTCAGAAAGTTTCTCCTTGTTTCCAGGTTAAATCTCTCCTTGTTCAGTTTCCATCCATTATTCTTTGTCTGGCCTACAGGCGCTTTAGAAAATAGCTTGACCCCTTCCTCCCTGTGGCAGCCCCTCAAATATTGGGAGACTGCTATCATGTCTCCCCTGGTCCTTCTCTTCACCAGACTAGCCAAGCCCAGTTCCTGCAACCGTTTGTTGTGTTTTAACCTCCAGTCCCCTAATCATCCTGGTTGCTCTTCTCTGTACTTTTTCTAGAGTCTCAACAGCTTTTTTATAATGTGGTGACCAAAACTGGATGCAGTGCTCTAGGTGTGGTCTTACTAAGGCTTTATAGAGTGGTATTAGTACTTCCCTTGATCTTGACTGTATCCCTCTGTTAATACAATTTAGGATTGCATTAACTTTTTTGGCGACAGCTGCACACTGCTGGCTCATATTTAGCTGGTTGTCCACTAAGACTCCAAGATCCCTCTCACAGTTACCAAAATAGACAGTTAATCTGTCAAGTATCCAGATTATAAGCATTGTGATTGCAGGAACTGAGTGCTGAAACTTGGAAGACCAATCGTTAAGTACCATTCATTCAGTGCCATAACAAATACACCAATGTACATCAAACTATTCAGGATTTAGCACAAAATAATGTGGCTGAATAATATTCAATCTGAACTGGAATTTTAAAGATGTTGCTTCTGTCTTCTGTCTAGATTATCATCAGCCCATCATGATAGGAACTGAGACAGTTACCTGGCAGGGATCTACTTTTAAACCAATGGACACGGAGGATGAGAAAAAATGTCTCTCAGAGAACAAAAATCATTACAACCGCCCACAAAAAAGAAATCACCATGATTATGCGCTACCTCTGACCAATCAGGAACCGGAATACGCCACACCTATTGTAGAGCGATGTACAGGAATTGAAAATGTTTTTTCTTCAGATAATTGCTACAATGTTCCTGCTGTTTCTTCTTTTCCTTCTGGAACTTTTCTTGCCTTATGCAAGGCAGATGGGAACAGTGGAGATTATAAAATACCACAAAACATTAAAGAGTATGATAAGCCTAAAACTAGTATCTTGCCCATAGTGGACTATAATACATGCTATCAAAAACCACAGGCCGAATCCCTGACAAATGAAGATTACTCAACACCTAGATACAACCTCAAACCAATAAATCAGACTGCAGTGACAGCACTCTTATAATCCAGAATTCATGAAAGGATCCAGGAAAAGGAAAGGACCTAAGAATACTGACATTCCTGCAGAATTTGAGTAATAGGCCAATTTTCCTTCTTTTCACCATGAGGAGCCTTCAGAATAAGGTCTGCAAGCAGTGGATTCTCTACAGTTGAGTTGTTGGTGCTCCATTTAATACCGTGCAATGTGTACATACAGTTTTAATTTAAAAAAAAAGTAACTTAAATAATTTGTTATCTCTCTTGTTAACAAATGCACTGATTTCTAGGTGAGGCAGCATTCTTAATTGAGATAATGCTCATTCTTGGAAGATCTTATTTAGAATGGATAGTTAAATATAAAAAAACAAGACATGTTTAAACATTTTGCACTTCCCATAAAGTGTTTTGCAATTTATGTAGGCTGCGTGATAGCAGTCCTTTTTAATTTATTCTTGATGGTCACTTGGAAGATAAGGTACAGACCTTCCATGATTAAAAGAACAATCATTTTTTGCTCTTCTAGGATTTCCATGGGGGCTGCCTACATGTTAGCAAGTTTATATTCAAGAGTGGCAAGAATTAGAAAGTTTGTTTTTAAATGAAAATTTAGATTCTCAGGGAATAGAATTAGACACAACTTCAGTGACATGCTACATTCGAGTAGCATGTATACTTGGACCAAATCTGTCTTGTTTTCCATTATAAGCAAGATATGCTTATTTCTTCTTTGGGAAATATGGGGAAAAAATAAACTGCCTACCAAAGTTATGTAAACTGCTACCTTTGTTCTTTTTTTTGGGGTGGGGGGGGTGTCTCCAAGTCAGTTTTTTACTACTGGCAACTGCCTGGATTTAATCTGTGAAGTTTTCTTTGTGTTATTTCAGAAGTGGTTTGGGCCTTGTCTACTTCTTGGGACTGAACAGAGTGACTGGCCCAAGGTCACTCAGTTGGCCTCATGCTTAAAGCAGGATTAGAAATCATGGTCTCCTGGTTTAATCTGTCATCTTAACCATGATACCAGTTTGGCTCTTTCACCTTTATTCTCTTATGTTAGTTTTATTCTTTTCAATATGTGTAATTTTAATTATATTTCATATATAAAATTATGCCAGAATGAACAGAATTTTCAAATCTATATTTGCAGCAATTCAGAGCATATCCAAAGTTGCAATTCAGAGCATATATATATTTATAAATCCCAGACTATTTCTGAATAAATATACAAAAATGGGTGCTAAACATTGCTTTCATGTGATAAAAACCTATATTTTGTGTGCAGGATGTTATGATTCAAGTTCTTAGCAGCTGAAGCTAAAAAAAAAAAAGATTAATCTCCAGATTTGAATGGCAAAATGCCATTCAAGTTGCATACATTAACAGCTGTTTGGAACATCTTAAACCATATGCATTTTTTGTCAAGAAGATGCCACAGCTATAGAGTGCAGCAACCTGCTTTGTTGTATTCTATAGATTCGATAGAGACTCCAAGCTACAATCATATTTTGCTCTTCAAATCTAGATCTCTGGCCATCTCTATAGATTATGGCTGTGACAGATGATAATTTAACTAAGAACTCAGCCCATGGGAATTCGCTGATGCCTCTGTTGTGAACCATGTAAATTGAATAAATCATGAGTGTTGTTTGAAAGCATGCTATACATTTGGTTTCTCCTCCAAACTTTTGGGGAACGTAATTTTCAAAATTGTATGTACAAAATTGTACAGTATTATCCAGTCAAGAAATATTTCTATAAAACAATTAGATACAATGCAGTGAGAAAATTTCCAAACAAAGGTAAGCTGTGGACCATCTCCATTAATTCAGAGCACAGAACCATTATAATAAAGGATAGGTCACAGCAGACGTAAATAACATTTGGTCTGCTATAAGACATCTTTGCTCAGATAAATTGCTTTAAAATCTGACGGGAGCATTCTCCGGGCAGTTTATCTACAGAGGTATTTTATTTTTTGGCCCATTTATGCAGCACTGTACAATCTTTGGAACTATCCTCTGAAATAGTACCGTATTATTAGCTCAATGAAACTGCACTGCTAATGTATTTTTCTGGCCTTGCATATTTCTGCATCATTTAGTCAGAGTGACACTAAAGCCATATTCCGTTAAAACAATGTGGGGAGAGGGTGTAGGAAATTCAATAAATAAGACCATGGTGGGGAAAAACTATCCCCGTGAGGCTGGACAATACTATGTAAGTGCATCAGAAGTTTCCATATGCAGAAAGATCATCTTTTATTTCTTCCTTGTAGTACAATCATGAAATATTCAGTGAGATACAACAGAGTGACTGTGGACTAGATAGATAATCTTAAGTGCTTCTTATTCCAGTTCCCATTTTTAAAACAGTCAGCTGTTCTCCGCTGATGTACTTCTCTGAGAGACAGTGCTAAGAGCCCATAAATGGCAAGGAATATGAAATATTTCTCCTTTTTAGCAGTCAGACAGGAACAACCACCATCATTTTGGCAAAATCAAAAAACAAAACATGGCAAGTGTCATGTTGTGATGATAGGACAGTTAACTAGTTCTGACAGGTTACAAATAAGCAGCGAGACAATTTGATTAAGGATTTACTTCTTGAGATCAAATCCTATGCTTCAGAACCTTTATAAACAGTTTAGCTACATGTTTAATTCTGAGCTTTGCTCTGGAATTTTTTTTAAAAAATAAGACAAAGTGTACTGGAAAATGAATGTTTGGACTTGCAAACCTTGACGTTATACAGCCAAAACAACTGCTCACAGGCACCAGATAATGTAATGACCCCTGCTCATGCATTTTATCTAAAACTGCAATCATTTCAACGTAATACATGAACGGGCTTTTGGTGTTCTTTGTAATTCACTGCATTACCTTGATGTAGTGGTTAAAGTGCTGACCTAGAAACCAGGAGATTTGAGTTCTAGTCCCGCTTTAGGCATGAAAGCCTGCTTGGAGTCAGTCATTCTCTCTCAGCCCAACCCATCTCACAGGGTGTTGTTTTGGAGAAAATAGGAGGAAAGAATATTATGTATGTTTTGCTGCCTTGAGTTATTTGTAAAATAACAAAAGGAGGATAAAAACCTAATAAATAAACAAATAAAAGCAGGCCAGATAGTAAGAAAAAGCCACCGCTCTGCATTAAACTGAGGTGAAAATAATTTAGCTTTGCAATACTTGCAGCACAGTGTAGACAAGCAAAGGGTTCCCCATAGATTTCAAGCAGACATTTTTTCCCAGTTATCAAAAAAATACTGAGCTGTTTGACCTACTGTTTGACATTAAATCTTTTAAATTGACTGTTTCTCTACTAAAATATACATGCAGTAGGCTGTGATTTTCTCAAAGGATGTATTTTTAAAAATAAAATACTGTTAAAGCCCAAGTTATCATAATGCTCAGGCAGCATCCAGTCAAAAACAATGATAAAGTATATTAAAATCAGTATTCCCTTGACTGAGAACAGCAGCTTCAACACATCAAATCAGAGCTATAAAATAGTACTGCTGATGGCACATGTCAAACATTTGGCATTTACATGAACTACAATGTAGTAGCAGGCAAGAAAATTGTATTCACTCAACTTCCTTTACCAGATTACTTATTATATGAGAGCCAGTCTGCCTAGTGTTTAGCACCAGACTAGAAACCGGGAGACCATGATTCAAGTCTGGCCTTAGCCCTGAAAGCCAACTGGGTAAAGTAGAGTCAGTCATTCTCTCCCAGCCCAACTCACCTCACAGTTTTGTGGGGGAAATAGAAAGAAAGAGTAGTAGATCTATTGAGTTGTTTGTAAAAAATAATAAAGGCAGGATATAAAATGAGTGAGTGAATGTAACAATGCAAGAATCAAAATAGGATGTGCTCTGTTGCTGTGAAAAAATGATTGAAGAAGTCTAGCTCAAGATTGATATAAAATCAGGAATACCTGCTTGATGTGCTTGTACAGGAGCACAAAGCAGTGTACATAGGTCTTCTTTTTGTTTGTCCCAACCTGCTGGGATGAGAAATAGCAACTAGTCCAAAGTTGTCCAGTGAGCTTCCATGGCTGAGGGTGGACTAATCTGGATGTCCCTGCTCCTAGTCCAACAACTTAGTCACTATACCACACTGGCTCTATATACAGATAGGTACTAACTGTTTTATAACATTTGTTATTTATCTAACAAACTAAATTTTAAAAAAAAAACTAGATAATAGGGTGCCAACACTGATCAAACCCCTATTACCTTTACCAAAACATGATGAATGTGTTAAATATCGCACAATTTGTGGAAGGCAAGAGAGTCCCTCTGGCTTCTCTAGTTATGCATATCAATAATGCATTTGCAATGCCAAAAGACTGGAATAGTTCTTAGTATTGTCCCATTTCTTGATAAAGGTAACAGCAAGGGCCTTCCAGTTATCATTTGATTAGCCTCCTAAGCATTCTGTGCATCCTAAACTATAAATTATATACACCCTTTCTGTTTTATAAGCTTCTGGATGGGCTAGAACAGGAGTGTCAAAGTCATGGCCCATGGGACAGATGTGTCACTCGCTGGCCATGCCCACCCCCTGGTTTAGCGAAGGGGGGGAAAGTTGCGATACGTCACATGACAAGATATCATCGCACATTTGACACCTCTGGGCTAGAACGTGAGAAATTTCTAGTCAACAAACAAGAAAGCCTTGGGGGCCAATGTGCTAACCTACAGTTTGTAGCAGAGCACTACACAGATATCTATACCAACTCCCTGTATGTTGCCTTTGCTGACTGAAAATCAATCTTTGATCCCCTCCCTAGAGAAAAAAACCATTTTATTACTCTGTAATCAGAAGTTATTTTGCTAATTAAATTGCTGCAGGGAAATACAGTTATGCAAGTCAGCTGCGATAGCAGCAGCTAGCTCTCTGCAGATATCTCAATCCAGAAAAGTGTGAAATAGGGTTGTATTCTGCCTCCCCTACACACACATCTTTTTCAATATCTGTGTTATCAAAATCTTCACCACTTTAACCAAAGCAAAATTCCATCTCTCCAATGTAATAATAAATAGCTGTTTGTGCTTTTCAATGCTGCTGTGATGCAGTCATCATTTCTCTAAGTATGAAAAGTGGAATGTGGATCATAGCGGATTATTCGAGGGAAGAACTAAAACTTCTTTTTTCTAATTGATCCGCAGTGATTTATGTCTTCATACTACTTTAAAAAAATGTAACTTTATTCGGACAAGAATCCATAAAATAGTTTGATGTATTAACATTGCTGTAGGAAGGGGGGAAAAACCCTAAATTACAACATAATAGAAACATATGTTTGGTAACTGTATATCTACCCAGTCAATTTCCTGCTGATTTAAAGATGGGCGTGCAAATTTATTATACTAGCATTTTAATGAAGAAAACAGCTACTGTATGAAATATGGAATTCCTGCACTTATAGTACAGGATAGTCCTCACTTAACAATCAGCCACTTAGTGATTGGTCGAAGTTACAACAGAACTACTTATGACAAATTTTTGAAATTGCGACAGCCACAAATACACGGTCACACATGGTCACGTGATCACATTTTGAGCACATGGCAATCAGCTCACATTTAGAGCCATTTACAGAATCCTGTGATCATGTGACTGCAATTTTTTACCTATTTGTAGCATTTACTCCTGTTTCCAGCAAAAAGTGCCCATTAGTGAAACAGGGTTTTCTTAACGACCACTACAAAAACGGTTGTAAAATCAGGCATAGTCATGGGGTGACCGGCTTAACTACTGGTCCAATTTACAAACATAATTGCAGGCTCAAATACAGTTGTAGGTTGAGGACTACCTGTAAGATGGAAAATACATTTTTTCACATGCAACTTCATATCCCAAGAGGCCACTGGAAAAAAACCACTTTGGGACATATGACCTGAATGATTGAGAATCTCCATAGACATTTTAGCAACTTCATACATTTTACGGTCTTGTTGCCTAACTGAAAATCCTGGCTTGCCTTGGAAATAAGTGTTCTGGTTAAGATAATTTTAACAGTGAGACTTCAATAGGGCAGCAATCAAAATTTACTGCAAATTAAATACAATTCCATGAGCAAGTGAGTGAAATGATGCGCAAAAGTTATTTTATGAGCAACATTATAAATGGCAAAATATTTGCATACAGTATTTACATTTTAAAGTTCTCTATAAACATGTATATAGTGCACCTATAGAAGAGACATATTTAACTGTGTTCTAAAACACAACATTTTAAACATTGAACATAAGGTTAACTGACATTACATTAAAGGCATTTTTATATGTTCTCCATTTATGTACAGTCGATAGAAAAAAAACACAAAGTTTCATGTTACATTATTTCCACTCTCAAAATACATTTTTAAATATTACATTTCAATTGCCTGCAAGAAAGTGAATGGAAAGCAGGCATTTCATGCTTTATCCTATAATTTAAAAAAAGCTACATGGTTTTTAACCATTTGCATACAGAGTGTGTGCAGTTTTAATAAGTCACATATGTATACATTTATATGTGGGTATGTGGGTGTGTAGGTATGTATACACACATGTACCCAAAACACACACGCACACATACACAGCAGTACAAGAATTTAGCCAAGACAACCCCATTAATACCAACATATTCTAAAAGTGCCTTGAGCGTTTTCAGGTTTTGGAACATTTTGAGTTTTTTTTTTTAAATAATACCAAAAATATAGTTCTGTGAAGTACCAGGGCTTTAATCATTTTTCTGCTAGTCCTGCATGGACCTCACAAGATACAGAAAATGCTTGACTCTCCCTTTTCAGAGATGGCTCATATAAACATCTTCACATAGTATGACATGAGTCACTGATGGCCTTGTGACTACTGATCTGAATCTGAGTAGTGATTATTAATCTCCCATCATCATCATCAAAGTAGAGAACTTCACTTACAATGGCCCTACTCATGGAATGGAAGGTTAGCTTCTGACAAGATTGCTGCTATAATTTTGTCTGCAATGTATGATCGGTGCTTAACAACAATCTATTTTGGAGATGACTTGGGCAAAGATTACATGGCCAATTACCCCACATAAACTGATGACCAGCCATTAACTGATAACTTACAATGAGGCAGTGCTGCTTACTATGTGCCCAATAAATTGCCTCTTAGGTGCCCAATAAGTAACCTCATGTGAACCTACTGTTAGTAGCAAATTTAAATAGCTTTTCCTCATGTCATTATAAAAATCGCCCCTCCCCGATAATAACTAAGAATACAATCGGATAGATTGTGAACAGAAACTGAACGATCAGTTTGTAGTTATCTACAATATGATCAGGAAAAAAGTGAAAGTGAGCCCTTGGAGCAGTCCAGAGCTAATTTAAGTGAGCTACATTTGACAATTTTAGAAATAAACTAGAATTACTAATCTATGGAACACTGAATTCCCGCAGACAAGCTAGTTCCCATATGACATATGCAGTGATTATAAAGTTATTGAGCAGTAGGATGAACAACTATATGAATCCAAGCTTATCAGCTCGGAGAAAATGGACACTTGTACAATTTTAAGGGCAAACTTAAGTAAAGTAAGTTCATATCACATTTAGTTTTTTTTTTTAAAGTTACCATAATATTCTGCTTGATGCTTTAGGGATATATTCAAATCCAGCAAGAATATTTGAAAGGAGAAAACTAGATATTGAGAGCTAAGAAAGAATTACTTCCAAATAAATAATTGTTATTTAAAATCTTACATGTGCATATTAAAGCAAAATATATATTTATTTTGAATATTATGAAGTTTGGGGAGGTTGGGTCTTTTTTGTTTTGTTTTTACTTTTCGCCTTCCTGCAAGGTGTATTTTTAAACCATTAGCCATTTTTATTTGTTAACTGAAGCCTATTTTATTAGCAAATGGATAGCATTTTATTTGTTTTTGGTATATGTGAAAGGAATCAAGCGTTACAGCTCCTC